GCATCCTGAAGGTTGCTTTGTTCGTTCCGTCTGTTCTCTTCCCCCTCCTCCTTTGCCATATAAATGACCTGTTTTGTACACCAGTGTCCAGTGGCTAGCACAGGGCACATGCATTCAGATGGTTTAGCAGATTATTTCCCACTATACATTTTTAGCATATGTGGCTGTCTGACTGAGTGATGGTTTCTAAAAGCAGCCTAGAAAGCATGTATGCCATCTTGAATATTCTAATAACAAAAGGAACTATTATAAAGAAATAGAATGAAATGAGAGAAAAATTTAAATGTCTTAACCTCCAAAAAAGTCAAGACCGAAAAAATGTCAAAGCCTGGGTAGGCAACATTAAGTGCTCTCTTTTTTACCCCTCTAAATTTATTTATTTATTTGCCTGCATAACTGGAGTTACAAATAGTTGTGAGCTACCGTGTGGGTGCTGGGAATTGAACCTCTGAAAGAGCAGCCAATGCTCTTAACCACTGAGCCATCTTTCCAGCCCACACCTCCTGATTTTTTGTTGTTTTGTTTTGTTTTGTTTGTTTGTTTTTCGAGACATGGTTTCTCTGTGTAGCTTTTGGAGCCTATCCTGGCACTCGCTTTGTAGAGCAGGCTGGCCTCAAACTCACAGAGATCCCCCAGCCTCTGCCTCCCGAGTGCTGGGATCAAGGCGTGCGCCACCAACGCCTAGCCCCCTCCTTATCATTTTTATTGATCTTGAATGGGTGCTACTGATATCTTCAGTATCCTAGTGAAATGGAAATTTGATAGCTTTTGCAAACTGAGTGGTGATTGACTATTACTGTGGTACATGTTCTCTGGACATCCCCCATAATGTAGCCAGTGCATAGACTGTAACAATATCTTGTCTTATAAATATAGCCAGTGGGCTAGTAAGGTGACTAAGTCTCTTGCCAGTAAACCTGAGGACCTGGATTTGATCGATAGAACACATATGGGTGGAATGAGAACTTGCACACAAAATATATAAAAAGTAAGCTTTGGGGATGGGGGAGTTTCAAGACAGGGTTTCTCTATGTAACAGTCATGGCTGGCCTCCTGAGTGCTGGGATTACAGGTATGCACCTCCACCAACCAGCACAAAATATAAATTTAAAAATTTTAATGTCTATCTTGGGTTGCAAATGCCTGTGGTTGCATATTACCAAGTCTGCCCTTTGCATTAATATAAACAAAAGCATCATTTTGGCATCATTTAATGCTGAATGTATTTCTTTATTTCTTTATTTCTTTTTTATCTGTAGGCTAAAGAAATCCTGACAAAAGAATCCAACGTGCAAGAGGTTCGATGTCCAGTCACTGTGTGTGGAGATGTGCATGGACAATTTCATGACCTCATGGAACTCTTTAGAATTGGTGGTAAATCACCAGATACAAATTACTTGTTTATGGGAGACTATGTGGACAGAGGATATTACTCAGTTGAAACAGTTACACTGCTTGTAGCTCTTAAGGTAAATTTACTTTTTTTGTTTGGGCCTTTTTTGAACTGGGTGAGAAACCTTCGGGAATGTTCTTTTCCTACCATGATTTGTTTTGTCTAAATGTTAAATTTTAGAACAAACTGCTATATTTAGCAATTCAAGTGTCAAACTTACTCATCATATCTGCCTGTGGAGCCCGAAGATGGTTCAGAACATAGTGCTGTGGGATACCTCAGGGTTTTTATTTGTTTGTTTTGGTGTTTTGTTTTAAGACAGTATCTCACTATCCTGGAGTGTATCTCTGGCTCTCCTGGAACTTACTATGTAGACAAAGAGTTCATAACCTGCCTCTGTCTTCTAAGTGCTGTGACTGACAAGATAATCAAGTAGAAGTTTTAGTTTAGTACATTGGCTATAGAAATAATATAACCATATTAATTGTTAAGAGAGTTTGAACATATGTGTTGGATTGTTTATATATATCATTTGACAGTCTTATGAAAATTTCACAGAGAAAGAATTGAGAGATCTGGGCATTGGTGGCACACACCTTTAATCCCAGCACTCAGGAGGCAGAGGCAGGTGGATCTCTGTGAGTTTGAGACCAACCTGGTCTACAAGAGCTAGTTCCAGGACAACCTCCAAAGTCACAGAGAAACCCTGTCAAAAAAAAAAAAAAAAAAAGAAAGAAAGAAAGAATGAATGAATTGAGAGAAAAGGGTCAGATTTATAAAGTGAAGATTTTGTTGTCTTAATATTAGAAAAGGAATTTGATCTAAATGTACAAAGTGAGCAAATGCCTAAACAATAGTTTATTCCCCTGGAGTAATAATGATTAAACATGAGAACTGAAGTCTGTAATCCCAGCTCTGCTGAGGCCCAGGTAAAAGCATTGAGAGTTGAAGTCAGCTTGGCTTATACAATAAGACCTTTCCTTAAAATAAAAATAATAAAAAGAAGCAGATTTTACAATCCTTGCTTGTCATTTGTAGCTCTGAAATATAAAGAGTCAATACTGAAACACAGTAGCATTGATTTTTAGAGTGGAATGCTGCCTCTGCCTTAAGGAGCTGCTTGACTTAATCTTTGGAGGGGAAAACTTTACCACTCTTCTTAGGAAACCTATGAGATTTTTATTACAGACTATTCTGAACAAGAAATTTGCTGTCACTGGTTTTTCTAACATTAGAGATAGTGGTGAGTTTTCACCAGAGCTGACTGATGATTAGCATCTGCACTGCTTAGCACACTAAGCGGAGAGTTTAGAGTAGATGGTGGGCACTTGTATAGTGATTCCAGATACTCTGAAAGAAGCTGGTAGCCTGGGTTTACTCAGGAGGAGTGAGCTGCCTATTAGAATTCATGTACCACTAGGCCTGGTGGCTCTGCTTTAATGCCAGTACTCCAGAGGCAGAGACAGTCCAATCTCTGAGTTCAAGGGTAGTCTCATCTAACACAAAGCTCCCACTAGCCAAGGCTCCATAGTGAGATCTTGTCTCAAAGGAAGGAAAGAAGGAAGGAAGGAAGGAAAGAAAGAAAGAAAAATTATATACCAAGGACTAGACTGCATTGTGTACTCATAAATATCAGAGGCCCAAACCTAATTCCCTGTACCTCAAAGTGTGGTAGCCCTTTAAATGGATAGTTAAATAAAATGAGGTCACATGGGTAGGTCTTGTTCTATTATGAGTAGTTCTCTCTAAAAGAGACTAGAAGGCTAGAGATAACTCAGTAACCTAAGTTCAGTTCCCAGAACCCATTTTTTTCCTAAATGCCAAGCATGGAGGCATGTACCTATTATCCAGTCCTGAGGAAGTAGAGACAAGAGTCCCTAAGGCTCACTGGCCAGCTAGCCTAGCCTAATGAACTCCAGGTCAATGAGATGATGTCTCTAAGGATGGCCACTTGGATTCTGAGCATGACACCCAAGGTTGTCCTCTTGCCTTCAGCTGTACATGAACATAGGGAAGAAGATGAGAGACCACATGGAGAAAACAACTGTCTATAAATTAAGAGATACCTTTAGAAGACCCCAGCTCTGCTGATACTTTGAGGAAAAGTACCTCTGTAGTGTATGGACTCGCTCCAAAACTCATGGCAGCCCTTAGCAGATGAACATTATAGGGAAGGTGGCCCTTTCCTAAATGGTGTCTAGACAGATGCATCAAAACAGATTCTTAGCCTAAATGAATAGCAAAGGCTATAAATTTAAGAAGAAAAAATCTGTACTCTTAATTAGGCTCAGATTGCTCAGCTATGTTCATAGAAGGACTGAGGATGCAGCAGGTTTCTAGAGTGCTTGTTTAGCATGCAGGAAGCCCTGCATTTGACCCCAGCACAGTGTGAGTGTATGATGATGGATGCTTGCAATTCTAGCATTCAGGAAATGGAGGTAGGAGGAACAATTCAAAGATACTGCAAAAAAAGAAAGAAAGAAAGAAACGTTTGTTCAGTTGTTACTTTCTTGGTGCTTCTGGTTGAACTCAGCCTCTTGCATTCTAGCACAAGTTCACCACTGAGCTGTAGCCTGTTTTCAAATTTAAAACATTTTTACAGTTGTTAATTATGAGTAACTGTGTGGGGGTACAAGCATGCATGGAAGTCAGTTCTCTTTCTACCATATGGGTCCTAGAGAGCAAACTGTTACAACAGATAAAGTGTAGCCATAGCTTATCTTGTGACATAGCTATCTTGGGCCAGTGAGGTGGCAGAGTAAAGGCAGTTGCCACTAAACCTGATGTCCTGAATTTGATCATTAGAATACACGGACTTACAATAAATGAAATGTAATTTTAAAATAAGGCTTGATGGCAGACACCTTTACCCTTAGCCATCTCACTTGCCTGTACATAACCTTTTTTAAAAGCCTCTTAATTAATAATAAGATAGGGTTTTTGTTGTTTTGGGGGGTTTGTTTTGGCTTGGTTTTTATTCTACAGGGTGGTTAGCCAAGGCTGCCCTCCAGTTGGTTGCAGTCTTTTTTAAAGTGTTGGGGTTATAAGCATGTGCAGCCATGTTAAGACAGATTTATTTCTTCCTGTGTGTGGGGAGGGGTGGGAGGTTGTTGTTGATATTACACGGTTTTACAGTATAATAGCTCTGGCTGTCCTAAAATTCCTTTTGTAGACCAGGCTGGCCTTGAACTCACAGAGATCTGCCTGCCTCTGCCTCCTGAGTGCTGGGATTACAGGTGTCTGTCATCACCACCCAGCTAAGACAGATTTCTTGAGACAGGTTCAAGATATACTGTAACTTGAACAAGCCTCAAACTCTTCATCCTCTGCATGGACCACTATGCCTGACCTTAGATAAATAATCTAATTTTAAATGGGCAAAGTACTTAAATAACTACTTCATCCTAGAGGATAGATGATTAGTAAGAACATGGTTAGTTAACGTCATTAGTCATTAGGGAAACCTATGTTAAAGTGAACTGATAGCATAGATGAATATTCCAAGAAGTTAGACTCCTCATCCATTCCTGTCAAGAATGTGAAATGGTCCAGCCACTTTGAAGAATTTTGATAAAGTTGCATATAAACCAATCATGTAGCCCAATAGGTACACTCTAGGAATGTGTTCAAATATTAGAAAGCATGTGAGCAAATACAGAAACCATGGCGGGTGGCTACCATGTAAGCTAGTGGACAGCTGTGAAAGGTGTGCGCCCCCATCTATGCCGCAGTATGGTGACTTTGGGATAGTGCTCCAAGGAATATGCAGCACAAGAAGCTGTGTTTTGTAAGTTTTTACTTACATTAAATGTCCAGAACAGTCATTCTCGGGCGCTACTATTTGGCTGGGTGGTGGTGGCGCATGCCTTTAGTCCCAGCACTAGGGAGGCAGAAGCAGGCGGATCTCTTGAGTTCAAGACCAGCCTGGTTTACAAGAGCTGGTTCCAGGACAACCTCCAAAGCCACAGAGAAACCCTGTCTGGAAAAAAACAAAAACAAACAAACAACCCAACAACCACAACAACAGTCATTTGTAAGTAAGTGGTTGTTAGGAGCTGAGAGAGTGTAAGTAGGGGAAAGGGTTGTAAATAGGCATGAGGGATCTTTGTAAGCAATACAAGCCTCTAAAATTGGGTTGTGATGATTGTTGTTTATAAATTTAGTAAAAGTCATAGAAAAAATACATGGTTTTTATTTCACATCAGCTGGCACAGGGAGGGGGATTTAGTTTTAATTGAAGTGATATTGATAGGCTGGAGAGATGGCTCAGAGGTTAAGAGCACTGGCTGCTCTTCTAAAGGTCCTGAGTTCAATTCCCAGCAACTACATGGTGACTCACAAACACCTATAATGAGATCTGGTGCCCTCTTCTGGCCTGTAGGCATACATGTAGGCAGACCACTGTATATCTATATACATGATAAATAAATAAAACTTTGAAAAAAAATACCTATTTAAAGTGATACTGATAAACAATATTTTTAAAAAATACATATTTATAATCTCCAAGCATGATGGTGCACCTTTGCACTTGGGAGGCGGAGGCAGGCAGATCACTTGGGTTTGAGGCCAGCCTGGTCTACAGAGCAAGTTCTAGGACAGCCAAGGCTATACAAAAGAAACCTTGTCTGAAAAAACAAAAAAGTTTATAATCTGAGATTCCAGTTCATTGATGTGTAGAAATGTGTGTTTTGTTTTTTTCTTCAAAATTAGAACTCTGGGTTTCACTATAGAAAGTTTTATGAAACTTTTTTTGGAAAGAGCTAGCTGTCTGTTGTCCATTTTGCTTTAGGTTCGTTACCGTGAACGTATCACCATACTCCGAGGGAACCATGAGAGCAGACAGATCACACAAGTTTATGGTTTCTACGATGAGTGTTTAAGAAAATACGGAAATGCAAACGTTTGGAAATACTTCACAGACCTTTTTGACTATCTTCCTCTCACTGCCTTGGTGGATGGGCAGGTGTGTGCATCTTAAAACTCATTAGTGGTTTTCCTTTTTCCAATAATTTTTGTGTATATAGGGGTGTGTGTGTGTGTGTGTGTGTGTGTGTGTGTGTGTGTGTGTGTGTGTGTGTGTGTGTGTGTGTGTATTTTCTTTTTAAGTTTTTTTCTATGTTAAATCAAGTGTATGGGGTGGAAATGTAACCCATTCAGCTTTGGGGGCTGTTTGTAGAGGAGCCTGGGAGATACAAGGGGCTGTTAGCTACTCGTAGGTAGACTCCTGGGGGATAGGTAAGGAGCCTCAGCGATGGCAGTTGGTCATAAAGAAGAATGGATGCATGCTCAGTAGTCAGGAGTAGTGCAAAACAATGGCCAATTCTTCACTTCATTGAAACAGAGAAGTCCTAGAAACTGATGCAGCCAGATGGTGGAGGCTCCTGTCTAAATTGTACCCCAAGTATTTTGACTCTAGGTATAGTTACTGTTTGTAATCAATGTTTTTAGATCTTCTGTCTACATGGTGGTCTGTCGCCATCCATAGACACACTGGATCACATCCGAGCGCTTGATCGCCTACAAGAAGTTCCTCATGAGGTATGACTTCTCTTTGATAAATTCTCCTCAGAAACTCTTTAGGAAAAAGGAAAATTGTTTAGCTGTAGCTTAGTTCATTATATGTCAACTCAGACTTTCAAAATGAAATGACATGTGTGCCCTGTTATTATTGCTCAGTTTAGAAGCCCATACTGTCTAATAGTGAAACTTGGACACACAGGCATATCGGATAAGTTACTGATGGAATGTGCCTATTGATGTGCACTGTACCTTGTTAGAATCACTTCTCATTTCAGAGAGACCTTAACTGCAAAGTTCACACTTTGTTCAGCAGACACGAATCAAAAAGTGATTTTGTAGAGTGCTGCATTTGGTGAATTATCAAATCAAGACTTTTCCACTTTGGTAAAAATCAGTTTATAACTTGTACCTGCTTTTTAGGGTCCAATGTGTGACTTGCTGTGGTCAGATCCAGATGACCGTGGTGGATGGGGGATATCTCCTCGAGGAGCTGGTTATACCTTTGGCCAAGATATTTCTGAGACATTTAATCATGCCAATGGTCTCACGTTGGTGTCCAGAGCTCACCAGCTGGTGATGGAGGTATGTTCTTTTCTTTGAAAAGTGTCAAACTATTTAGTAGCTGGTGGAAAGGAGTTTGACATTGGTGCTGTTAGTGAGACAGTCCTTTTTTCCTATAGATTTTGCCACTGGTGCTAAACTATTTTCAGTAGATGTGCAGTCAAATGAAAGACACGTTTGTGGTGGTGGTGGTAGTGCATATATTTAATGGATCTTCAGATTCTTGATGACTTGGAGGTACTTGGGGGTGAAAGGGTTAAGATCTAGAGAGGTGGAGAAGGGTATAATATATAGTACAGTTGTTTGTTTATACATATTTAGTATGTCTGTGTGTAGGAAAGGAAAGGACCATCAAAGCAGTGGTGTAGTCCTTTGGATAACTGGGCTGTAGGTGATTTGAAAGAAGTCTCCTCTAGTGGGTTCTTAACTTTTAATTTGGGCTGCCACAATTTCTCCCATAAGGTGTTGTCAGGACTGATCCTCAGCCAAGTACTGCAGCACATGCCTGCAACCTTATTGGTTAGGCTGAAGTAGGATTGCCTTGTGATCCAGACCAGTCTGGGCTGCATAGTGAGGCCCTGTCTCAAAAAGGAGAAAAAAAAAGTTCATTTTAAAATCATGTTTAAGATCATTCGTGTAAGTAAAAGACACATTTATAGGAGCCTACTACGTGAAAAACAATTTATTTGGTGATGGACTGTATGTAAGTTGGATTTGGTTGGTTGGTTGGTTTGGTTTGGTTTCTTACAATATGATCTTTCTATGTGCTCTGGCTGTCCTGGAACTCAATTTGTAGATCATCCTGGCCTTGAATTCACAGAGATCCCCCTGCCTCTGCCTGCCTCCTGGAATTAAAAAGTATATGCCACCATGTTGGCTTTAGCAACAAATATTCAAACACATTTTACAGGTTGTGAGAAATACAAAATATGAACCCTTTTGGAGAGAAACTCATTTTTTCTTAGTTTAGTCATATTTACCTGTGTGGGTAGGTAAGTAACTTTTTCCCTGCTTCTTTTTAACAGGGATATAACTGGTGCCATGACCGGAATGTAGTAACAATTTTCAGTGCTCCAAACTATTGCTATCGTTGTGGTAACCAAGCTGCAATCATGGAACTTGATGATACTCTTAAGTATTCTTTGTAAGTATCTACCCTGAGCTAGAGCTGCATGTTCTCCAGCTCTTGGTAAAACCAGATTACATGTTGATTACATTTTCATGGGAATGGACCTACATGTAATGGGAATTAGCTTCTCTTATTTGGAACCCAGAATGAATTACTAGGTCTTCAGTTTCTTGTTATTGTTTAAAACGAATCTCACTGTATAGCTCTGATTGTCCTGGAACTCACTCTGTAGACCAGGCTGGTTTTGAAGTCACAGAGATCTACCTTCCTCTGCCTCCCAAGTGCAGGGACTAAAGGCCTGTACCACTAAGCTCAGTGGTCTTCAATTTCTAAACCCATGTTTTTAATTAGGGATCAGACCAATGTGTCAGACATTTAAATGATCTTATTTGAAGGGGCCCCATTGTGTGATAATGTAGCCTCTAGGACTGAAGTTGGCTGTTTTTGAAGTACCATTACAGCACAGGATCAGAGCTCTAATCTTAGTAATTGAAAGACTGAGGCAGGAGGATTGGGAAGGTAAGGACATCCTTGACTACTTTTCCTGTTGCTATGATAAAAAAAACACTGACTAAAAGCAACATGTGATTGGGGGAGTGGTTGTTCAGCCTACAGTTCCAAGTTACAGTCCACCACCGAGGGCAAGTTGAAGCTAGTATTAAACACAGCTACAGTCAAATACATCCACAGTCAAAGAGCAGAGCTGGGTATAGTGACTCATGCTTTTAATTCCAGCAGAGGCAGGATGCGCTCTGAATTTGAGGCCAGCCTCGTCTATATAGAGTTCCAGGGCAGCCAGTGCTATATCAAGAAACCTTGACTCAAAACAAAACAAAAAAGCAAAGATAAATGTGTGAGTCCTTGCTTATGCTGTTAGCTTTCTTTATTCTTAAGCAGTTTAGGGCCCCCTGTCTAGGGAATGGTAATGGCCACAATGGGCTTGATGTTCCTGCATCATTTACCAAGACGGTCTTCTACAAACATACCCACAGACCAACCTCAATGAGACAAGTCCTCAATTAAAACTGTCCCCAGATGATGACTTTCTTATATGAGGTTGACAGTTAAAGCTATGTATGAGCAGCCTGCTACTCCCTAAAAATAAGCCAGCAACTTGAAATGGGGTCTTGCTATGTAGCTTTGGCTAGCCTGGAACTGAATCCACTGGCCTCTGCCTCCCAGGTGCTAGAATTAAAGGGGGCTTCATTTTTTGTATTTATAGCCCAAGGTGGTCTAGAACTGTGATCCTCTTGCCTCAGCTTCCTGAAAGCTGTTGTTAGAGCTGCGCCCCAGTACACCCAGCTCTAAAGTTGGGTTGTCTATTAAAATAGGCTGAAATTGGATAGGAAATAACCATAACATCTGAAAAACTGAAGGTCTTAATTTTGATAAGTACATGGATGTCTTAGAATAGAAACAGTCAATCTTATTTTGTTTTTCAGCTTGCAGTTTGATCCAGCACCCCGTAGAGGCGAGCCACATGTCACTCGTCGTACCCCAGACTACTTCCTGTAATGAAAATTTAAACTTGTACAGTATTGCCATGAACCGTATATTGACCTAATGGAAATGGGAAGAGCAACAGTAACTCCAAAGTGTCAGAACATAGTTAACATTCAAAAAACTTGTTTTCACACGGACCAAAAGATGTGCCATATAAAAATACAAAGCCTCTTGTCATCAACAGCCGTGACCACTTTAGAATGAACCAGTTCATTGCATGCTGACGCGACATTGTTGGTCAAGAATACATGTCCTGGCATAGCGCTATTTGTAGTTACTTTTGCTTTCTTGAGAGACTGCAGAAATAGGATGTAAACATTAACACCTGTGAGTCCAGTTGACTTCCACTTAGCTGTAGCTTACTCAGCATGACTGTAGATGAGGATAGCAAACAATCATTGGAGCTTAATGAACATTTTTAAATAAGTACCAAGGCCGCCCCTCTTGTTTTGTTTCTTTTCAGGGATACCATTTAATTTAATTGTATGATTTGTCTGCACTCAGTTTATCCCTTCTCAAATCTCAGCCCCACGTTGTTCTTTGTTATTGTCAGAAAACCTGGTGAGTTGTTTTGAACAGAACTGTTTCCCTCCTGTAAGATGATGTTACTGCACAAGTCACCACAGTGTTTTCATAATAAACTTGAGAACTGAGAAAGTCAGGTTTGAATTGTATCAGTGGGCACGACTGGTGCTGTTTATTAAACAAGATAAATCAATTGATCAATTTTGGAATTTGTAGAATTCCAGGTAAAGAAAAATAAAGATCAAGGCCACTGTGTAACCTCTCTGGCAACTCCTTGGCATTCTTCAGAAGAACTTGGGGACCTGTTTGTCTGACATATGACATATACTGCAGTTTGTCTTGTTGCTGGCCTGCGCTTGTGAAAGGAATCTGTGCTGCTTCAGTAGGACTTGATTGTTAAACCATAGAACTTGAGAGTTTGTTTTTAGGATTTTAATTAAAATGGCATGTTTTCAGGTAGAACTTAACAAACTAAATGATGTGTCTAATTAGTGTAGTTTCTGGTTATAAATATATTGCTATGTATATTTCATGACTAAAATGATTGACAGAATGGTAAGTTCTTAACAAACATTTGTACATTTTTTTGTCAAGTCATGTGATCTTAGAGTTCAATTTGTCTCAGATAAGCTGTTAGTTAGAACCTTAGCCTGTGTTAAGTTCCTTGAGTGGTAAATCAGTGAAGCCAAGTAGAAATGGGTTTTTGGGTTACGGTTCATGTTTTGTCCCAGATCCAACAGTGGTGCCTGAGTGCCATGCTCAGTGAATAATGAGTTTTTCCCTACTATTCTTTGACTTGGCTTTAAAAAAAAAAAAAAAAACCAACAACAACAACAACAAAAAAAAAACGAAGACAGTTCTTCTGTGGGGACTGAATATTTGCTATTTTAAGCTACCTGGGCAAACATGAGGATGCTTAATTATTACTGTGTGAGTGTAGTAAATAAATGTTTCCTTGCTTTGTACTGTGTTGAATTTGGAACCAACAGTGAAGTTACAACATTGCCCTGCATAAACAAACCAGTTTATGAGTTAATTGTCCAAATCAAAAGGCCCTTGGTTTTTCTAGGTATCTTTTCTGCGTTAAAAGAAACACATTCTCCAGCCTGTTATTACTTTTGCTACTTTGTCTTTTCTTCTTGGCCAAACAAATAACATCTATGTACAACACTTTCTCTTAAAAAAATAAAAATAAAAAATAAGGGTGGGGTATGGGGAGGGCAGAGGGACAGGGTCTTACTGTGTGGCCGTGAGTGATTTGGAAGTAGTTGTATGGCCAAGCTGTCCTGGAACTCATGGGTGATCTGCCTCCACATGCCACCCTGCCCAACTTAATGTACCCGCAAGTGTCCTGGACACCAAGCAGCTGCTTTAAGGAACCTGATAATAATAGAGTGGACTCTAATGGAGACAGTGTCCTGTAGTTGACATGTGTCGTCTACATACAAATTCTCAAAATGGGGCTTGTGGCAAAGATTGCTTGGTTTTCAAATCATTTGAGTTGGAGCAAATTACAAGGCTTCCCATCTAAACTTGAAGATGTTAATAGTTTAACCTGATTGTAAAATTAGTAAAATGTATGAGCTTCTAAAAATCTAGAGTTGGATGGGAATCACTAAAAGAATTTAATGGGTACCGTAATGAGATTGCCATAATTTTTTAAGCTTCTTGATTAAGAGCAAAGAATTGCCAAAATGAGTGTTATGAAGGTGTCTGGAGAGGTGCTTAGTAATTAATCAGTTATTTTCCAACTGCCTGTAACTTCAGTTTCATTCCCTCTTCTGGACTCCACAGCACCAGGCACACACATGTACATAACTGCAGGCAAAATACTTAATATATATAAAATAAAAATGAATCTTTTTTTTTTAACAAGTGTTGGTAGAGCGATTGCCTAGCATGTGCTGTGCCCTGGGTTCCATCTCTAAAAGTGAGTGTGTGTGTGTGTGTGTGTGTTGGCACAGTCTGACCCCAGCCTTTTGGAGGCAGGTGATGGATCTCTGTGCTTAAGAATATGAGTAGTCTGTACAGAAGTTTACTCCAGAGCTGGTAAGACCATAAAGGTACGCACTTAACCACCAAACTTGAAGACTGAAACTTCGGTCTGTGGGACCCACGTGGTGGACGGAGAGAACCAACTCCTACAAGTTGTCCTCTGATCTCCGTACACAGTGATGTGTAACCCGCGTACACAGATGTTAAAAAAATAATTGGGGGCTAGAGAGATGGATCCATGGTTATGAGCTGGTACTGCTCTTGAAGAGAACCCACATCCACATCTGAAACTTAACAGTTGTCTGTAACTCCAGCTCCAGGGGATCCAGTGCCTCTCGTCACCATGGACATCAGCTCTCACATACATACACATGCATAATTTTAAGATAAATACATTTTTTAATTAAAAGCTTGAGACTGAACTTACAAAACTCATTGTTGGACTTGAGTATTTTAAGAAAATATGCATAATTTTATTTTAAAACAAAAACAATGCCATATTAAGGGATACCAAGTAATATTTTGAGGCTTGTACATTGTTTAAGTTGAAGTATGCCTCAGGTATTTATCATTATGATTGGAGGCATTTTACCTTCCTTACTCATGCAAAAGGCTTTCCCTTTTCTTGGCTGATTATTTATGTGTGTGGTGCCCACAGACACCAGAAGATGGCATCAGATCCTCTGGGGCTTCTGAGTTGTTGGCTGCTGGTGTGGATGCTGAGAATCAAATTTGACCTCTGGAGGAGCAGCAAGTGCTCTTAACCTCTGAGCCATCTCTTCATCCCCTCCTGTCAATATATTGAATACTTGCTGGTTTTAGTGGGTGTGCTTTGAATGGAAGTATAATATCTGTATTCTGGTTTTGTTTGTTTCAGAATGACCTAGCTTCATTAGAAACAATTATTTCTGTGGTATGTCTAATGTTAAGAACCTCTGCTTGGTTTGGCATGGTGACACACTTCTATGATCTCAGCACTTGGGAGGCAGAGGCAGGTAGGTAATCTCTTGAGTTCCAGGCCAACCAGGGATACATAGTGAAACAGTCTTTTGTGGTTTTTGTTTTTGTTTTTGAGGCAGCGTCTTAATGTGTAGCTCTGACTGTCCTGAAACTCAATATAGACCAGGCTGGTTTGAACTTACCGAGATCGGATTGCTTCGGTTTCCCAAGTGCCGGGATTAAAGGTGTGTATTACCATGCCTAGCATGAACCTGTCTTAACAATAAAGAACCACTGCTTGTTTGTCAACTACAGTTTTGTGGTGATGGTGGTGTCTTTTGGGGTAACAGTGGCTTTACTAATGTGTTCCTAGATACAGCCAATAGTTTGATAATAGGCTTAGTTTTGAAGTGGATTCTTTTCTCATGACCTAACCTGCTTTTTATTAACTTCTTAATCTCTCATAGTTCTTTGACTACTTTTAACCTTTATAAACTTAAAATTTTTTTTCATAGTTGTGCCTATGTTAAAAATAACCTTTGTCACCCAAGCATGATGGCACACACCTTTAATTCCAGCACTTGGAAGGTAGAGGCAGGCTGTTCTGTGTTCGAGGACAACTTGTGCTACAAATGAGTTCCAGAACAGCTAGGTCTTTTACAAAGAGAAACTGTCTTGAAAAAACTAAAATAAAAATAACCTGTGTCAATGTTATAAATGCATTTGAGCATGACTAGTAATGACCATGCCTCTTGTCAGTCTACTCTGTCTTTGTATGTTAGATCTGTGAAGATATTGTTTCATTGTGACATTTTCATGTGTATGTGTGTGTGGTGTACTTTGGCTCCATTTTCCTTTCCATTCTATACCTTGATTGTGTATGTTGCTTTCAGTAATGACTTGCTTTTTTGTTTTTGTTCTGAGACATACATAAATACTACAAAAATACTGAGTTCATTTTGTGTTGACAATTTTGGCATATTTTAGGCTTTTCTACATTTATTTATCTTAGTGTGTGTATGTATGTGTGTCCATGTTCTTGTACATGTGTGCATGTGGAGGTCAGAAGATAACTTGGGAGAGTCTCCTGAGGAATCAGATTGGTAGGCCTTTGGGCAAGCACCTTTTACACTTTTTAAAAGATGGTAAACACCGATGAGATTTCATTCTGTGTGTATGGCTGTTTTGCCAGCATATACATCTGTGCATCATATGCATGCCTGGTGCCCATGGAAGCCAGAAGAGGGTGTGAGGTTTCCTGGAAATGGAGTTAAAGATGGCTGAGGCCAACATATGGGTGATGGGACTTGAACCTGGGTCCTCTGGGAAAACAGTGTTCCTAGCTGCTCAGCTGTCTCTCAGCCCCACTGTTTTTTGTTTGTTAGGTTTTTTGGGGGGGAGGGGGTGTTGCTGCTTTCTTGATACAGGGTTTTTCCTGTGTAGCACTGGCTGTCCTGGAACTCTCTGTAGATCAGACTAGCTAAAAATCAGATCCACTTGCTTGCGCCTCCTGAGTGCTCCATCACTGCTGGGCTGGTTTTGTCTTTTCATCCATTCATCCAGTCTGACTTACTTTGGTTTGGGGCACTGAAGATTCAACCCAGGATCTCATGGGACTAGGTAAATGCTGTGCTGCTGTACTATACTGCCCCAGCCAGTCTTGTCTTCACTTTATTGGACTATTCCCATTGGGATTATAGTGGAAAGGTCTACTAACCCCTATCGTGTTGGTCAAGTCCAATCATCTAGTTCTCATGTACTCATCTAACTGTGCTGCCCTGTTGTGCTTCTGTGGGAACAATTCCTTTGTCTTATGCACTGTTGACTTAGTTTTTACATATGCCTTTGTGTTTGTTTATCTTATTCTGTTTCCAGTTGGATGAAGGATACCTGCTGGCTGTAGTGATCTAGGTTGCCTTTTGTTTTTTGACAGCCTGAAATGCTGAGTGATGAGATCTGTTCGGATTCGTCAGTTTTCATAAGTGATGGGATTCTCATCTTCTGTAGTGTATGGGGTCGGTCTTTCCTGCTGGTGGGTGAAATTCTAAATGCCTCCTATATGTGGGCACACCTGCACCTCCCCAGGAGAGGGGTTTCTACTCATGAGTTTTGTCTTTGGAATATTTCTTGGCATCTTCTATATGGGTCAGACCTCTGTAGGGTTTTGGTTCAAGGCCCTGACTGTCCTTGAACTCAAGACATTTGTCTGCCTCTACCTCCCCTGTGCTGGGATTAAAGGCGTGCTCCATCACCACCTGGTGTGGGTTTTGTTTTTTTGTTTTTTAATGTGTCTGAGATCATGATCTCTTCATCGCCCTCTTTTCTTACTGTCTGTATGCTTTCTTACCAACCTTACCTTCAAGCACCTGACCTCGTCTAGCCAGCTTCCTCTCTGTTTAATTCTGCTTTATTTTTCAGACATGGGCTCAATAGAGCCCAGATTTGCCTCTGTATTCATTCTCCTAACACAGCCTCTCAAGTTCTTCAATCTTTTGTTTTTAATAATTTTTTTTGATAGACCTCTCTTCAGAATTCCTTATCCTGAGTTTCATCTAGCTAAACATCTGGAGTAGAACTTTATTCTGTGCATAGATTCCCCTTCACTGGTCAGTGATGAGTATATTTTGACACATTGAGTACTGTATTGGTACTTCCCTATAGAGCTCCCAAGTTGGTACTTTGTAGGTAGATAGTGATGTCTGTGGGATTACTCAGATTCCTCCTGATCTTGTGAACAGTATGGTGGGAAGGGATATGGAGGTAGTATGTGGTTCTGCACATACAGGTGGTGGTATGTAGTCTTACGGTGTCTTCCTCTGTGGGGTGGATGTCCAGCAGTGGGTCTTGAGCCCCACCCCTCCCTTCCTACTTACTAGCTGTCCCCACTTGAGTACAGTCATTGGCTTGGGGTTTTATGGCCCCTCGTCTTTAAAATAAAATATTTGACGTTGGAGTAGAGCAGTGCATTTGTTTTATGTAACTGAATAACTATTCTGGCCTAGTCTCAGGGATAGTCTGTCATGTTGGGAAG